TGGAGTGCACCACGCACACACCTGTCCCAGGACTGAAGGAGAATCCACAGCAAGTAGGGTAATTGCAGGCCCAGGTCCTGCTTCACACTGGGGAGGTGAATGGGCAACAGGTGACCAAAATGGTTGCTTCCTTCCAAATCTGGCAAGAATCTTCCCTGTGGCCCACCCTACCGGGAGACAAAAAGTAAGACAGTCCTGGGAAACACAGCTCCGCTTAGCCAAGTTGATACATTACAAAGCCATCGCAGATCCACTGTACAGTGGGTGTGTGTGGGATAAGGCTGAGGAGGGACCGGCACAGAAGAGCACAGGCACCAGGCCAGGCAGGGCAATCTGGCCAGCAGGGGACGCAGACTCCACCTGAAGACAGGCAGTGATTACCCAGTTCTGCTGATAGTTGCCAGGCAGCAGGGTGGGCTCAGTGTGGTCAGAGCTTCTCATTTTTTCAGACCGTGTCAGAAACACCTGAAAATGTTTCTAAGTCTCCCTCCAGAGGTGGGAAGTGGCTTGAGCTACCCAGATAGGATTAGTGGCATATGTGTGTGTGTGTGTGTGTGTGTGCGCGCGTGCGCGCACCTCAGCCGGACCATGGCCCCACATGGGGCTCAGTCATCCTAGGGACCATCTGAGAGTTTATGTGGAAACTATAAACCTTTTTGGTGAAACCTCCCACTTTTAAAATGTGAGTTTAAAAAAAGGTTTACCAACCATCCCAATCTACCAATCTCTCTCACACCCATTAAGAGGGCTACTGTGAAAAACCAAACAGAATACAAGTGTTGGTGAGGATGTGGAGAGGTTGTAACCCTTGTACACTGCTGCTGGGAGTGAAAGATGGTGTGTCTGTTCTGGAAAAGAGTATGGACGTTCTTTAAGAAATTAAATACAGAGCCATCCTATGATCCAACACTTTTGCTTCTGGGCATACACTCAAAAGCATTGGAAACAATGACTTGAAGAGATATTTGTACACCCATGTTCATAGCGGCATTACTCACAGTAGCCAAGAAGTGGAAACAACTCAAGTGTCCACTAACAGGTGAATGGATAAACAAAATGTGGTCTATCCATACAATGTAATATGATTCACCCTAAAAAGGAAGTTCTGATACAGGCTACATGGATGAATCTTGAGGACATTATGCTCAACCAGTCACAAAAGGATATATACTGTGATTCCACTTCTATGAGGTCCTTAGAGTAGTCAGATTCATAGAGACAGAAAGTAGAATGGAGGCTGCCAGGGGCTGGGGGAGGGGGAAGGGGGGTTAGTGTTTAAGTGGCCAGAGTTTTAGTTTTGCAAGATGAAAATGTTCTGGAAAATGGTTGCATAACAATGTGAATATACTTAATTACTGAACTGTATGATTCAAAATGGTTTAGATGGCAACTACTTTGTGTATTTTACCATAATTAAAAATACGTGCATATATACCATATGGGCCAAAATCATGTGTGAGGTTCAACGTGGCCCGCAGTCTTCCACCTTTGAGATCGCTTGACTTGATTTTCTGTGATGGCCCTTCCAACTGCTTCACAAGACAAGAAGCCCTTTGTGGTGGTGTCTTGAAGGATACTGAGGGAGGGAAGGTTAAAGCGGCAAAAGCCAGAGACACAGCCTCCTGGTGCTAAGGGTCTGCATCAGGGTAGCTCAATGTGGGCTTGTCATGAGGATCCTGGAGCCTTGTGCCGTGCATCCTGCAGATACTTGTTTCCAGAGGCCCACCCCCACTTCTTGCCCACCTTCTCTTGTCTCTCTCCCAGCTCCTGTTTTACTTCTGGCTGCTCCTATTACGGGCTAGGAGTGGAGCCCTGGGGCCTTATCCCAGCCAGGCTGCCCTTTCAAACTTACTGTGCTGTCGAGCTTGATTGTCTAAGCCTTTTCACTGATGCCCCCAGCTCCTCCAAACAGTTTTCTAGCTTCTGCTGCCCGCTGGGAGTGTTGCCTGGCAAGCCTGCAGCATGCCTCTCCTCCCTGGAGTTCCAGGATGCAAGGGAGATCCTCACCCATCTCCACATGAGGGACACCAGCCCAGAAGGCTCTGGGTCTCCTAGAGCATCTCTTGCTCTAGGCCCCTGGGAGTTCAATTATAAGCATCCACTCTCCTGAATCTGAGATGGGTAAACCAAGTCTCACAGAAGAAGACGTGGTCAGTTTTTCACGTTCTAGGGACTCTCGCATACAGCCTGCGCTGTAGCTCCTTTACCCAAGGAATGAGGCTCCACCCTTCCCATTAGTTGCTCCTCACTCTGGTTAAAAAAGCGAAGGGAGGCTGTGCAGGCCCAGGTGGGGCTCTTTGAGTCTGAGGCCATCCCTTACGCTCTGGTTCCCACTGCCAAGCCACCCTCCAGGCTCTCCCACAGCAAGCAGTATCTTTCCAAGCTCTCCAAGCTTAGACACCCCCTCCCACGCCAAGAGGCCCTTGGATCTGTCCTCAGTTTACCTATGATAGGCTGTGTGTCCTTGGCCAAGCACCTCCCTTACCTGGGCCTATTCCATCTCTTTACAAGCAGGGTTGGGCTTTAGGCACACGAGCTTTGCAGCAGGAGATGGATCAGGAGTGGAGGGTGGTCACCTGTCTAGTAGGACCTGGAGTGCTGGGGACCCTCTACTTTCTCTAAGGCTGCCAAGCAGGAAAGAATCTCCTTATAGTCTGGAGCCAAGTCTGCTCGCTGCATCTGTGGGGTGTGGGTGAGGAGGGAGCTGCTGCGCATGGGTGGGCTGTCCCACCTGCCCTGGAGAACAGCTGTGGCCCTGGTCTGACTTGGTCACATACAGGCCGTCAGATGAAGGCTGCATGTCTATCTCAGACACTTGTTCTTTAAAAACATATGACAAGATGCCCCACTGCTCTCGTAAGTATTGGCAAAAGGTGGGAAAATGGTGATTCATATGCCACTGAAATAAGCGAAAATTTGGAGGGCAATTTGGCAATACCTAGTAAAGCTGATGACCCAGACAGAAAAGTGCAGAATAAAATGCCTAAGGCATGGTTTATGTAAACCTGAAGATTACAAATAGTATGTTCTCAGATACAAGAACGTGCTTTTAATGTCACATTTATGTGAAAATGAAAGAATTCGTGGCCCTGAGGACATTCCATTCCCTTACGTTAAAATTCAAAGACCCCACCCAACTGATCTGGAACCCCGACAATGGGCAGTCAGCAACGAAAAACAAATGGAATTTCATTTTTATCGTTTATTAAACTGGAAACAAATATGACAAAATAGCCATTAACAGTCAACCTTACGGTAAGTACCTGTGTTTTGAAACTCAGTAAAACCACCCAAACTCACGCAAATCAGCCCAAACAAAACCGGAGTCCACAGCGAAGGCGCCGCCGCCTTCCAGCGCCAGGGGGCTAAGTACTGAACATCGCGGCTAACCCCGCCTCCTCCGCCGGAGGCCGTGCGCTCTGAAGAGGAATTAGGCACTCGGCGGGCCACCGCGAGGGTCGGTCGGGGAGACCTCGGGCACGTCTCCCCGCGGCCCGGCAGCGGGACGTGCCGCGCCGGCGCGCTCCCTCCCGTCAGCAGGCGCGCCGCTTGAGCTCCTCTGATTGGTTGAAATTGCGATCCCTGATTTGCATAGGGCCTCCGGCCAGAGCCCCGCCGCCAGTGGGTAGGGTCTACGCAGCGGCTCGAGCGCAGTGGGCCGCTTGGTGAGAGCTCTCGGGCCGGTACCGTCCTGTCCTCCCCGTCGCCTCGGGACCCGCTTCCGTCCAGCCGCCTGGGGCAGCGTCTTGTGGATCCCCGTCTTCCGGGCACCCCCAAGAGAAAGGAACGGAGCGGCCCTGGAGCTCCAGGAAATTGTTCCGTCCCCTCTCCGGGTCCCTGGGAGGCCCCCTCCTATCCTGATAGCGCAGCCCCTGCTCCGTGTCTTCCCTGGAGGGACCCTAGTCGCCAGCGGCCCTCCCGCCTCATCGCATCCCTGCGGGGCACACTAGAGCAAGGTGTGATAGCTGCCATCGCCTGTCGCTTCCTGCCTAGCGCAGGGCGGGGCATGTAAATGCTCACATTCCTTTAACAAATGTTTGCACCCCTAGCATTAACTTTGAGAAAATAAAGGTGAAGAGCAGTCCCTGCTTCCGTGAAACTAATCTGGGTGAGGAGACAGTTCACGGATTTATTGGGACCATCCGCAATAACTGTCTAATTATAAAGTGACTCAAAGGCAAGGAGGAGCCTGCAGAGAATGGGAGGGGCTCTGACCAGAACAGGACAGATGCCGGCTTCCCAGACCGCCTACTCCAGGCCCCAAGCCCACGTCAACCTTAGCTCTCCCCGGAAGCTGGGAATCGGGTAGGGCTTGGTGGGCTGTGACTGGGGCTTCTCACCCTGATCCTGTACTCCCTGGGTAAGGCTAGGACCCGTTCTAGCCCCAGCCCCTTGGGTTTGACAGGCACTCAAGTCAGGGTGGTTTTAAGCTAAAGGATTCAGACAACTTCTGGGTATTAAAGGTGAAAAGAGATTCAACAAATAACACCCCACCAAGCCTTTTACTCTTTCCGAAAAAGCGCTTTTTCCACAGAAAGCCCTAGCACCCCATGTTTGTGACAAAAGCCCATTCCTTAGGGCTGCTGCCAGGAGAAATGGTAAGAGCCAGAACTCCCCCACCAGCAGCACTTTCTGCAATACAGTTTATCAAATATAATTTATTCAGAATAAAAATACACTGTTTTAAGAACTTAATTCCAAAAGGCTGAGAGCACCCAAAGGCTGAGCAGGAAACGGCCTGTAGCAGCACCAGGTCAGGTCAGGTCAGGGCTAAGAACTGCAGCACAGTCAGTCTTTCAGGGGAGGCTCTACCAGTCCCAGCAGACAAGGGCTGCAGGCATAACCACCCTGCTACGCCAGCCCTCCTCATCCCAGGCTGCCCATCTACCCACTGTGGGCTCCTGCTCAGAGCCAGGACAGCCATTCCCTGATGCACCCACAATTATCAACTAACCTCGTGTACCTCACCCCAAATCACCTCCACACATTCACAATGCAAGAACCTGTTATCAGCATGGTGTTTAATGCAGCAAATCATGGCCTTGGTTTCTGAAAGTCCTGCATTACTGGCTGTGAGGCCGCTTGGCCACAGGGGGCTGCTCCTTCTCCTGCTTCAGCCACCTCTCCAGAAGTCCTGCGCTGCCTCTCTTGGTGGGCAACGGGCTCCTCTGCAGGAACTGGCTGGACCACTGGGGCACATCTGACTCTGCCTTTAGGGGTGTTTTAGGATCTTCTTTTTTGGGTGACTTTGTGGCCAGCCACCTCAACATCTGGCTTCTGCCACTTGCCTTGGGCTCCTGGGAGAAAGTAGAAAAAGCTCAAACCACTTTTGGGAGGAAGGCCAACTCCAAGGGAAGAAAACAGAAGAGGTATTAGGTACTGACCCAGGCTTGAAAAAGGTTACCAAGGGCCAAATGGGGCCCTCTGATCAGCAGTGGGAAGAGAGGAGCAAGTGAGTGTGTCCCAGGAGTGCAAGGGGAAGGAGCTCTCAGGGAAAGCTTCCCAGTGGAGGTGTGTGGGATCAGTCCAGGGAGAGCGCTGGTGGGCATTCCAAACTCCTGCACAGAATGAAGCAGTCTCGGGAGAAAAATGTAGTTCAGTGTGTCCAGGCACAGTGCTAGAAAATGATGCTGGAGACACAGGGCTTCAAACAGATTAGGGGTTCAGACGAGGGCTAAACTGGCTCAGCTGTTTCTCAAGTGTGCAGCACCTCAGCGAGCACTGCTCCCTTTTGCTTGCCTTACATCCTGAAACTGAAGGGTCTGAACTGGCTTAAGGCCACCTCTCTAGAATGCAAAGTATTTTGGAGTGAAGACCAGGACAGAAATGTGGCAGTGTCTAGTACAGGATGAATATATAATTATATTTTTAGACACATCTAATGAAATAAGTGTCAAGGTTGCAGGAGTCTGCCAAGAACTGAGACAAAAAAGTTGATACTGTGGGTATGGAAAACTTTATAAATGTTAAGAAAAATGAGGGGTAGCTGTTGCAATCACAGTCCTGAACACTTCTCAGTCATTGTAAGATGTCTGTTCCTGGAACCTCAGAGCTATGCCTGCCTCAGATACCCTTCTGCCACCTAAATCTTTATCCCCACATGTCATTAGGGGCCAGCTTTTTGCTCTGGAACTTCCCACTGCAGGCCTTTTGCCTGTTCCCCTTCCCTTCAAAAACATCTTCAGGATTCTTGACAATTCTAAGTCAAAGTTCATAGCAGGTGTGTCTTCAAACCCTCCTGAAGAAGAACAAGGATTGGAACTCCTTGTTTAGAGCTGGTAAAGCAGAGGTACAGAAAAGAGACTTAAAAAAAATCACACAGTTGGTTGCAGACAGAGATACAACTACGGTCAAGGGCTCCTCTGTCTTTCTCACCATGGCCGTCTCGATCAGGAGTCCTCAAACTTGGCTTTTTATCAGGCTCCCTGACAAAGCTTCCTAATATACAGAAGCGCCAGCCCAGCCCTGAATATAGACTCAGTAGGTCTAGATAGGGTCCAGCATTTAAGAGCTCTCCTGAGGACACAGTCACAGCCAGCTTTGAGTCACTGCACTGCTCGACCTTGCCATGCACAAGGAATATGACTTTGAGGTGGCTGAAATTAAAGCTCTGATTATTATATAAAGGTCATATCCTAAAAGAAAAGGCTACATGACAGAAGACAGAAAGAGCTGTCAAGAGTCACAGGCACCTACCTTTTTGACCAGTAAGTTGACAGGAGCCAGACACTCAGGAGTGTTGTTTCGGGAGTTGTTCACTACGGGAGAGACTGGATGGAAGGTGATGTTCTCTGTGGGGTGAATTAACTTCAGAGCTTCTTGAGTTGAGACCTCACCAAAGTCAAGCCATTTAGAGACTGCCTCCTCTCCATCTAATATGGCAGGCATCCTGACCAGTGCAGTCAAGACATTGGTTGGGAGAGGAGGGCGAGGGTAGGGACAGAAGGGAAAGAGACTTGAGTCAGTTGATAGAGCAAATCAGAACAAGGAGAGGCCTGCCCTCCCTCTGCACCTCACACACTTGTTGCTGGCATGTGCTCTCTGAGCACAACTTGACAGGGCATGAAATCGAACACTAGGACAGCAGCTTATAAGGCTTTACAGCAAAGATGGGCCTAGTGCTAGGACTGGATCCAGTGCAATCCATGTACACGCCAGCAAACGGGTGACCTTTCTAAGATGCCCCAGCCTAGGATGATAAAGGGAAAATAGATGCTGGAAAACTTGTCTGTCAGTAAGAATCTCCAGCCTTACCAGCTATGACATTTACAGTAAGGAAGAGCTATTCACATAATTGTGAATGACAGAAAACTGCCTTGGAAAGAAAAGTGGCTAAGGTGACTCCTGGTATCCAGGAAGATGTTAGGAAAAGATCCTATGTTTATCTTCTAGTTTTATGTCCTAGGCCAATGCAAAGCACTTCATTGGTGGGTGTAAAGTTGATCTGGGGAGATAAATGCATCTAGTAATTATTATAACTTCCACAAATCAAACATACTCAAGAAATACTTGAAGTCTCTGAAATTCAGATGCATTTTTATGGTGAATGGCATTTCTGTACTGTATTATAGTTTAGTTGGCAGTAACTGGCAGCACTTTACTTTTCTTAATAGCATATAAAATAACGGCACATTAAAAAAAGTGTCTTGGATGAAATGGGAATTTATTTTAAGGTGATTGGCAAGAAATAGAACTATATCACATGAAAGCATGATTCTGCACAGAACACTTAGCACAAAGCTACAACAGGTAATCCTGTGTGTGCAGCATTGTGTTCTCTTGAGCAAATCAGAAATCACTTTGGAGGCACTCAGATCTGTTCCAGTGTAACTGATATATCAATCAATTTAAGGATAAAGAAGACTTTGCATTCGCTTACACAGTTTTGTCTAAGAAATGCCAGGGGAACAGAAGCCTACCCAGCTGAACTGAGCCTTGCAGGACACACAAAATGTGCTACACACCTCAAACACTGACAGCTGCCTTGACTTGTAGCCTATTATCCTCCAAAGTTGTTTTGCTCTCATTTTGCATTTCTGAACTTCTATGTTAAAAAACACTTCAATATCCCAAACATATCTAAGCTCCCTACTCAAAATATGCTAACCAGTGCATGTAAATGGGACACTTTTAAGTCCTGAGGAGAAACCTGAGATAATAAAGCCTCTTGCAAGTAAAGAGGACATGTGGCATCTCCTGTGGCAGACATAATGGGTCCCCATCAGCAACAGCGCTGTGCCAATAAAAGGGATATCTGGGGCCAGGACAACTTCAACAAGTGTTATGAACTCAATACCATCAGGCCTAAGGGAAGAGAAGCAACGGAAAGATCCTTTAGCATGTGGATTAAAACAGTAAACAAGTGAAAAAGTTGGGAGCTGTCTCACAGAGAGAACCACTGTCTGTATGTAAAGACCTGAAATACCCCAGAGCAAGGCTCCTTTCAGTGTTAGTACTGGCTGGTTTGGTCATCTCAGTGATGCACTTTCCAAAGTTTCTGGTGTAGGAAGAAGACACAAGCATGGATGAAAATTTGGCTAAAGAATCTAATTGAAGGAGGGAGCTATACATTGGATCAAATGTTCAACTGTGATTACATATGAATCTATCATCAACACATGCCTCTGAGGAACTACATTTCAAAGGCAGAAAAGCATACCCCATGATTTAAGACCACAAAAAGATAATACATTTTGCATAATCTTTCTCTCACCATTTCCTAACAACTCAAGTTGCAACTCTTCCCAACACTTCCACAAGAAAATTTTGGGTCTCTTTAAGGTAAAGGGCTATATTTATTGTAGTACCTATGTATTTCTTAATTACTTAGTGTATAAAACTGTGGTACTATTTTTAATGGACTTCTATTATTTTTTAATGTGTTACTTTCCCCATAAATCTTGGGTTTTTGTTGTACAATTCTGTGTAGTGTGGTGATTTTTAGGAATGCATGTTTATTATAGCCAAATTGACTGTAATGGTATCTTGCAAAGCAACTTCTGCTCTTTACATTTGTGCATACAGACATTGTGAATTCCAAAAGTTACCTATCTAAAATCAAAGAATATGATTTCACTTATATGTGGAATCTTAAAAAACCAAACAAAACAGAAATGACTCATAAACATAGACAGAGGAATGCTGGTTACCATAGGGGAAGCGGGTGGGGGAATGAGTCAAATAGGAGAAGAGGATAAAGAGGGACAAACTTCTAATTATACAATAAATTAGTCACAGGGATGAGAGTACAGCATAGGAAATATAGCCAATAATATTGTGATATCTTTATATGGTGACAGATGGTAACTACCCGTATTGCAGTGAGCCTTTAGCAATGTACAGAACTGTGGAGTCACTATATTGGACATCTCAAACCAATATAATATTGTGTATCAACTATATTTTAATAAAAAAAATAAAATCTAAGAAAGTAACACTACAAGCAAAGAGAACAAACTCCGAATCGTTCTGGACCCAGGATAAGAAGTGGGACTTGCCTGGGGTGGATATCATTCAAGCTTTTGCAGGAATCCACTGTGATGACGGTGTAGGAGTACAAAAGGTCTCCTCCCTCTGGGGGCTCCCAGCAGTCAAAGATCCCGGCCATTGTCAACAGCCTCCAGTTGTTCCAGACTTCCTCCCAGTCCTCAGGACTGCTTATGGCTCCAATGCTTCCTGACTGGAAGCAAAATACAGGGGCAGATTAGATCCTAACAGTCCCTTCCTACATGGGGACTGGGTACACTACAGACTTAAGAGATTGGCAATCACTTCAGACATAATTCAGCTCATGCCTATTAACCTCTCTTGATCCACTCTCACCAAGGCAAGAGGCTCAGCAGCAAGTATCTACTGAAGTTATAGGTTTATGTTCTCTTAATGCTTTCAGAATACAACATAATACCCTCAGTGGGGCTTCAGGCCCTCCATAATCTGGCGCATCATTTCAGCTTCCACTACAAGGTTAATTTGAAGCAAACCCAGCTTCTTGTAAATGAAGCCCTCATACAATTTCATGCTGTTTCCTGCCATAGCAACCTTCTGACCACAATGTCCTTGCCACCCTCTGTTCTCATCATGCCAACTCCTAACGCCACCTAAAATTCAGTTCAAGACCTTCAGAACACTGGAAAGAGTGTCACCTCCACCCTAACAGAAAGAACAGAGCTAGATAATCTACAAAATCATGATTTTCTTAAACTCATCACAGAACCGAGATAGCAGGGCAACCAATCAGCCTGAACTTTGTGGAAAGGCAGGGCCCTCCAAGGGGAGTTGAGACACAGGTACTGGCTTTCTGGGGGCAACAGAAAGAAGACAAGGTGTTCACACAGCAGGTGGGAATTCAGATAAAAGTATGATCAAATTGCTAAACACAGAGCGTGGGCTAGCCTGAAAATACAGAACCCCTGGGAACCACAGACGTTAGGGGAGTTTGCATCAGCTTGCAGACTCCTCCCCGCAGACCTCCTGGGGGCAGAGTGGGAGACAGGAGAGCCCACCTTGCTGGCGCACTCTTACAGGAGGGAGATCTTATGCATCAGCAAAGGCAGGAAGCTTTGCCTGTTAACTTCCCTCTGAAGAGCAAAAGCTATTAGAGGGGCCAGGGGAAGGGTCATAAACCCTATCACGCCAAGATACAGGTAAAGACCCGCTGAGATTGCGGAAGGACCACTGAGAAAGCCTGAGCCTGATGCAGAGACACAGCTCTGCCTACGAGTGAGACTGGACCAAGGCAACAGAGAACTCTCTCCTTCAGAGGGGCAGGCATGGGACAGGCAACAGCAGTCTAGCTCTGGGGAAGGGCCAAGAGCATGGAGAGATCCTCTCTAAGGCACAGGCTCAAAGGGAAGCCCTGCTGCTGAAGCGAGCAGGACTCCTGAGAAAACCCCTCCGGAAAATCAACCCTTATGCGAGACACAGGGTGACAACAGAAATTTAAAGCCTGTAGTGAACAAAGGTAATCATAACAAAACCCAAACCCAAGACTGACTCAACCTCACAAATTAATGGCCTGATAGAAGAATAAGCGTATTCACTTCCAGACATTAATATTATTTATCTCAGTCTCTGTCCTACATACTATGTCTGGCAATCAATCAAAGATTACAAGACACACAAAAAAGCCAAGAAACACAAACTACCAAGAGATGTAGAACTCTCTAACAGAACCAGACCAGAGATTACATTTCTCAAGTGATGAAACTATCAGACAGAGAAATTAAAGGAAGTTTAATTAGTATGTTAAAGGTTCTTATAGAAAAGGTGGACTTGTATGAACAGGTAAGGAATTTTGGGAAAATAGAATCAGGCAGGTCAACATAAATTACCCAATCAGAAACTCTGAGAAAAAAAGAATGAAATATACAGAAGAGAACATCCAAGAACTATGGGACAATATTAAATTGTTGAATGTGTAATTAGAATCCCAGAAAGAGAAAATGGGGCAGAAGAAATATTTGCATAGATACTGGCTGAGAATTTTCCAAAAATTATGGAAGACATCAAACCACAGATCTAAGAAACTCAGAGAACATGCCACATACAGACATACACCCACCCCCTACACACATATTCAACTTACTGAAAATCAAAGAGAAAATCTTGAAGGCATTGGGGAAAGAAAACTGGTGGACATATTATACACAAAAGGAGGAAAATACAAGAATTAAATAGACTTTTCAAAAAGTCTGAGAGCCAGAAACAACATAGTACTTTTTAAAAAATGCTCAAAAAACAAAAACAAAAACAAAACACTGCCAACCCAGAACTCTATACACAGTGAAAATACCTTTCAAAGGTGCCAGATGCTGGGGGCAGTGAGTGACTAATAATGGGTATGGAGTTTCTTTTTGGGGTGATGATAATGTTCTGAAATGAGATAGTGATGGCTGCCCAACATTTCAAATATACTAAAACCCATTATACTTTAAAAAGGGTAAAGTTTATATGTGAATTATCTCTCAATTTAAAAAATGAAGAACCAGATACTTTCTCAGACAAACAAAAATAAAATTCATTACCAGAAGACTTGCACTACAAGAACTATTAAAGGAAGTTCTTAAGGCAACAGGAGTATGATACCAGATAGAAACTCGGATGTACCCCAAAAGTGGAAACAGTGAAAATGAAGATGAAATGAATAAAATTTATTTATCACATATATAATTGACTGTCTAGAGAAAAATGGTAGTTATGTATTGTGAGTTGATAGCATATAAAAAAGTAAAATGTTGCTTGGGGAGGAGCCAAGATGGCAGCATGAGTAGGGCAGCAGAAATCTCCCAAAACTATATATTTTTGAAAATACAATAAATACAACTAATCCTAAAAGAGAGACCAGAAGATACAGTACAAGAGCCAGGCTACATCTACATCTGCGAGAACCCAGTGCCTCACAAAGGAGGTAAGATACAAGCCGTGGCCCAGTGGGACCCGAGCGCACCCCCCACCCCAGCCCACTGGTGGGAGGAGAGAATTCGGAGTGGAGAGAGAGTGGGAGCCCAGGACTGCTAAATACCCAGCCCTGGTCATCCGCCCCGGGAGCGCAGACACACATTGCATGGTGTGCTGCATATTAGGAAAACGGAACAGTAAAACCTGTGAGCAGGTCCCTGCAGCCGGAGCCCCTGGGACAAAAGAAAAGCGAGAGCTTTTTCAAAGTCCTAAAGGGACAGGGACTACACAGCTAGATGGAACTGTCCTGGCACACTCAGCCCAGTAGCTGGGAATCCCGGGTAACTCCAGGCGCCCTAACCCCCTGGGCAACAGCGCAGCTCTGAAGCCCCTCATGGCCATAAACAGCCTCCTGTCCATTCCCCCTCCAAAGTGGCCCCGCCACAACAGGGGAACAGCCTCAGAGCGGCCATGCCCACAGCAGCCACCCAGAGCCTCCTCTGCAGCCGCCTGGGCCAGACTCAGAGGAAGCCAGGACAGGGCGCCAAGGGTTGCTGTTCCCACAGGAGAGCACACCCGGCACACCTGCCTCTCCCTGCGGGGCTCTGGGCTGCCCCGAGGGCTGCCCCACCCACGATGGCTCAGGAAATAAAACCAGAAGCTGCTCCCCATGTGCGGGTAACCAGCACAGGCAGTGGAGAATGGCAAGGTGCAGGAAGGGACATTGTTCTCCCAGCTGACACACATGCCAACTGCCTACGACTACCTCTATTGCCATGAAAAGCCAGACGAATTTGATCCAGTCCAGAATTATCCAGACAACCCCCAAGGGGGAGCCCAGGGAGATAGATTTAACCAATCGTCCTGAAAAAGAATTCAAAATAAAGGTCATAACCATGCTGATGGACCTGCAGAGAAATATGCAAGAGCTAAAGGATCAAGTTAGGAGAGAAAGAATACAGAAATAAAACTATCTCTGGAAGGACTTAAGAGCAGACTGGATGAGGTGCAAGAGGTCATTAATGGAAAAGAGATCAGAGAACAGGAACACAGAAGAGCTGAGGCAGAGAGAGATAAAAGGATCTCTAGGAATGAAAGAGAACTGTGTGACCAAGCCAAATGGAACAATATTCCCCTTATAGGGGTACCTAAGAGAGAGAAAAAGGGATAGAAAGGGTCTTTGAAGAAATAATTGCTGAAAACTTCCCCAAACTGGGGGAGAAAATAGTCTCTCAGACCATGGAAGCCCACAGATCTCCAAACACAAGGGACCCAAGGAGGGCAACACCAAGACACATAATAATTAAAATGGCAAAGATCAAGGACAAGGACAGAGTATTAAAGGCAGCCAGAGAGAGAAAAAAGGTCACCTACAAAGCAAAACCCATCAGGCTATCATCAGACTTCTCAACAGAAACCTTATAGGCCAGAAGAGAAATGCATGATATATTTAATGCAATGAAACAGAAGGGCCTTAAACCAAGAATACTGTACTCAGCACGATTATCATTTAAATATGAAAGAGGGATTAAATAATTCCCAGGCAAGCAAAAGTTGAGGGAATTTGCCTCCCACAAACCACCTCCATAGGATATTTTAGAGGGACTGCTCTAGATGGGAGCACTCCTAAGGCTAAACAGATGTCACCAGAGAAAATAAAATCACAGCAAAGAAAGCAAACCAACCAAATACTAACTAAAGGCAAAAAATAAAATCAACTTCTCACAAAAGCAGTCAAAGGAAACACAAAAGAGTACAGAATAAAATACCTAACACATAAAGAATGGAGGAGGAATAACAAGGGAGAGAAATAAAGAATCATCAGACTGTGTTTAAAATAGCTTAATAAGCGAGTTAAGTTGGACAGTTAGATAGTAAAGGAGCTACCCTTGAACTTTTGGTAACCACAAATCTAAAGCCTGCAATGGCAGTAAGTACATATCTTTCAATAATCACCCTAAATGTAAATGGACTGAATGCACCAATCAAAAGACACAGAGTATTAGAATGGATAAAAAAAAGCAGGACCCATCTATATACTGCTTACAAGAGACCCACCTCAAACCCAAAGACATACACTGATTAAAAGTCAAGGGATGGGAAAAGATATTTTATGTAAACAATAGGGAGAAAAAAGCAGGTGTTGCAGTACTTGTATCAGACAAAATAGACTTCAAAACAAAGAAAGTAACAAGAGATAAAGGATATTACATAATGAGAAAGGGGTCAGTCCAACAAGAGGATATAACCATTATAAATATATATATACACTCAATACAGGAG